ACATCCTTGAACAGTCGCAACAACAAATTAAAATCCTTGCGATCTACCCCACCGAGGTTCTGCGCGCCCTTGAAGTGGTTGCGCAAGTCGGCCACCTCTCGCTGCAGAGCCCGCATAGTGCTTTGGGACAGATGGGCAACATCTCCTGGCAGGTTGTGCTTCTTCAACCGTTTGTTGAGCGTCGGTACATCGGCATCCCGAAGTCGGGCTAGCATTCGACTCATATGCTCGATCAGCACGAGAAGCAGGCCCGCTCGTGGCTCGGTGATCGAAGATGTTTCCGACCGATCCTCGGAGGGTGGTACGGGCGAAGTACCCGTCGAGGTAGGCGGTACGCCAGCATCCGACCCGCGCCGTGAGCTGGTTGATGACTGCGTCGTGGTCGAGGCTAGGGTGTTCACCGGATCAGTCTGCACGCCTTGGGATCGAGTCAAAAGCAGCAGAGTCTTGCGCTTCGCTCGCTTGTGCGGACTGGTATTAGTGAGAACCGAGTCTGACATCGGCGAGGGGTCGTCCACGATCGGCTCATCGACTACAGTCCTGCCGAGGTTCGGCGAGTACTCTCCGGAATCATGCGGTGACATGGTGGAACGTCTTGCGAGCATGAGAGAACGACGTTTCCTGTTCGCCTCGACCGCGCGGAAGTAGTCCGTACCGGGAGAGGGGGGCTCATCGTGCGCTGTCGCGCAATCTTCAGCGCCCGACCACTCAGCAATAGGTCCCACGCCTTGAGACTGGAGGTCTGTTAGCCTAAATGACCCTTGAGTTCATTGATCAACTCACAGCGTAGGACCGTCGTTTGCGCCTGTCGGTGTTGGTGCTGAAGCTCCGTGACAAGGTAGGTCGTACGGGTGGTGGTCGCATCTTGGGTACTCCGTTGACCACATAAGAGATCCCATTAGGCGAGGTCCGGAACTTCGGACTGTGCATGCCGTCCGACGGAGGCGGGCTTAGCGCCTCGATCCGACTGCCGTCCTCGTTAACTAGTGTGCCGCCAAATTCGCCTATTGCACCCATACCCAGTCCAGGGGAGATCACGCCATCCGTCGTGGACGTAGAGGTGAATGACGCGGCCATGGACATCTTGCGGTGATGCTCCCAGGCGCTCATCCCGCCGGTTCTAGACGACGAGGCCACACTCATCCGCTGCCAAGATGTCCGATCGGAGTGGCCGGAACCCCAGGCGAGGATAGGGCTAGACTCGGTACGGTTGTGCGACGAGTGGCTCGCGTTCAGCTCTGAGGCGAGGTGCTGCGCGACACGGCCGAACGGAGACATCTGGCCGGCTGAACCGATGACAGCTCGCAACTCCTCAACCTCCTCCTTGAGGCCGCGGGCTTCATCACGGGACTCGGTCAATGAATGTGATAGTTCCGCCACGTCATGCTGGAGAAGGGCATTGGCGGCGACCAGATCCTCGAGCGTTCGCTGGTACTCTGGCATATCTGTGGGTGACTCGGCACTGAAAGTCTCCGATAGCTGTGCAAAGTGAGCCTGGGCACCTGCCGCGAACGATCGACTGACCTCGGTGTGTAGCACGTTCAGTCTGTCCTTGGCATTGGCGAGCAGATCCTGAGCGTCTTTCGCCCGTGCCTCTTTGAGACTTTCGACCTCCTTGGTTGCCGCTTTGACCTGACCCTCAAGCTCCTCTACAGGTCTGTCAGCGCAGTGAGCGAGCCATCCGAGAAGAGACTCGCCTATTCTCGCTTCGGCCCGACGCCTCTTTCTGATCTCATCCCTGCCCTTGCGCGTCTCCGCCTCGGCCAAGTCCTTCGCGTCCTCGCACCGCTTTTCGGCATCTGCCAGCCGCTGCTCGACCCCCGCACCCGAAGCGAGAGCGATGTTCTGCCGGGTACTTGTCGCGCGCAGAGTTGTAAGTTCCGCCCGGACATGGGTAAGGGATTGTTGAGTCAATGTCTGGGTATGCATGGCTTGCGTGTACCTCTGCGGAAGCGTCAGCATTGTAAGACCGGTGAGGTGTCGCTGAATATGACTGGTGATGGGAGGTAGCGTTACCTTTTCCAAGCCTTCCGTCTTCTTTGACATGTCGGCAAATCGCTGCATATGCTGGTCGTTTGCCTTTTCCAGATTGTTGACCCTCTTGACGCTTTCTGCCAGGGCGGTACGTTTCACCTCGAGCTTGGGGAAGGTTACAGTCAGTGGACGCTGAGCAGGAACAAGTTAGAGCGTGAGGTGCTCACCTGATGCTCATACTTGTCCACCTCGCGCTGGTATTTACGCTCCAGGGCCTCGTATCGCTGCAGCAGCGCGTTTCCAACCTCTACCCGAGCGTGTCCTCGCGTCAGTTGGACCGGTCGATGGATCTGAGACACGTCTGAGGTGATGTGATGGATCGACTTACCCCCGCTGAGCTTGAGCTTGTCTTCCAGTCTCTCCCTGTCGCGCATGATTCTACACCCGTTCACCTCGCCACAGCAGCACCTGACTTCTCCCTCTGCACCGGTATCGGTATCATCTTGTATATCGCCCAGCTGCTTGGCCAGTCCGTCCAAGGTGGCCGCAGTCCTTAAGAACGTGCTTGCTGACGGAGACTCGGGGGGAAAGGTCGCTGGACCGGGCGAGAGATCCGTCCTGTCCGTGCTCAGGTATGAGACAGGAGAATCCACCTCGTCGCCAGAGGGTGACGACCTGTCGTCCATCTCTACCTGTTCTTTGCGCGGCAGTTCCTCCGCCTTGCTCTAGGCCGTGAGATGGGTTGTAGAGATCATGTGTGATGGTCGCGATAGGTCAAACGTGACAAACAAAATACTCAGAGAGAGAGTGAGAGAGATGCGACCAAGAACGAGGTGGTTGGTGTTTTTGGCGATTGATTTTATTTGTTTACATTTCAGAACCGCTCGTAATAATCAGGCCCAGTTCAGACGCCATTCTCGATGGCGTTGTGACTCGTGGCGTGGTCTGGATGCATATATAGTCATCTGGGGCCTGCCCCGGCTTGCTCATGTGTAGACATGTATGCATGGTCATAGGTACAACCAGCACCCTTCACAGTCAACCGCCTAACCCCTGGCTTTGGTCAAGTCGGATCCGAGAGAATACCCCGAGACCTTCTCCCAGTCCATCTTCTGCCTCGTGACGGGCAAAGCCCGTCGCAGGCTACGCGAACGAGTCAGTCACCGTCACAGAACGCATAGCTCCGACTCACGCTCGGAAGGCCTTGTCGCCGAGTTCCCCGTAGACATCGTTAAGTTCAAGCTGGTAAGCGGTTTCCACCTTGGAGATAGTCGTGACGATCTGGCTCGCGACAGATTGCGAGCCCTTGTCCTCGGTCGGACATGGGAATGAAGCAGTGTGCGTGGTCGCCAGTTGCACCTGTAAAGGGATGAGCTCATGATCATCAGTCAAGAAGGGAACAACCGCACGTTGCCCTGTTCATAGTAGTGTACATCCACGTTGATGGTACCGTCCACTGTGCCCGAGGCCTTGTCAACCACCCATCGGGTTCGCCATCGTCCGGTCCTGTTGCGTCTGTCAGCTCCCTCACCTTAACAATGTTTGTCACCGGCTTACCAGAAGTTGTTCGTGTTGTACTTGTTCCCAACCACTTCAAGGGTGTATGTGGGGTTCTCGACCCGTTCCTGTTTTCGCTCCTCCACCTGGGGTTCCTCTGCAACTGGCTGTGCCACGACCTCGGTGTTCTGGGTAGACGCGTTCTCCTGCTCAGTGGAGTCGATAGCCGCAGGAGCGACCTCGTCGACTTCGGGCTTTTCCACCTTTTCCACCTTTTCGCCGCTTTCCTCTTCCTCCTTGGCCTCTTCGACAAGCTCGTCCAGCTGGTCCAAGCTCTCTGGGCGGACGATTTCGTCCTTCTCGACAGGTGCATCCCCTACTACAGGGGTCGCGGCAGGCTCCACATCGCCAGCATTGACTTGCTCATCAACCACATCGGTGACGGGTCCGACGGGGACCTCTTCGGTCGGCTCTGACGCGTCCAGAGGTGTGGCTGCTTCGACCGCGTTCTCCGACGTTTGGGTTGCGGTAGGTTCCTGAGCGGTCACAGGAGCAGGTTGGGACGCAGGGGGGAGGAGAGGGAACTGAGAAGTGGAGACGGAGGAGTGGCCGGATGGGAAGTGGTTCTTGGCGTAGGCGGCGAGGGACTTGGCCAAGGCGGATCTGTTCTCGAACGTGGTCAGTCATGACTCGCTGGGGTAATAGGCTAGTCCAACCTACCGGAACGACTCCTCCTCCTCGGGCAGCTCGTAAGCATGGTAGTCGGAGGCGATCTGGGGATCGGGTGAGCTGGGAGCGGTGCAAGGCGACGCAGAGAACGCACCAGGTTCACGTGGTCAAACGCAAAGCTCCTCTTTCCTTCCGCATCCACGAAACGTTCACCTTCGCCCGATGTTCCAGGAAGGACGGTAGCGTTGGATATGATTGACTGAGGGTCGATGCTCAGCTAACATCTGATGCTAAGAACTCTTTCCTCACTGTGTGAGCTGGGACGCCTTCTGACGCCGTGTGTTCAACCACTTGCAGCTGAGCAAGATTGTATGAGCGCAAAGCCGAGAGCACGTAGGTCATAAGGGACTGATCGTCGGCGATGATGGCGCGGATGTCTACGAGCGGTGTCAACTTGCGCCGTCATCTGTCCCCAGCTCCCGTTCTCTAAGCCCGCTTGTGCCACACATGAATCCAAGCTTACCATTGACGACATCGCTTGGAGTGGATATCAGCTCACATACGACAAAAGCTAAGCCGATCAACTCACTTAATCTCCCCCGGTGGGGTCTGCTCGACCAGACCAGCAGCGAGCTTGCACTTGTCTTCCAGGCTGAGTTCTGACATGCTGATGGCTTGATGGAAGTTAGAAAGCAAAGTGAGTGTCGACTTGAAAGCGACACTGTTGTATGTAGATCAAGCAGAGACTGTTGTGACGAAAGGATGACGTGCAGCAAGTTGCCGCGCGCGTGGTGTACTATATATATCTCTGTTTAGCGGTTTCGTGAACCGAGAAATCGGTCCCTGTTTAGGGAAACAACGCCTTTGTAGCTCAGTGGTAGAGTACGCCTTTCGTACGCAGTTTGCGGTCATCGATAGGGTGGGGTCCATGGTTCAAACCCATGCTGAGGCAGAAAATTATATTTTTTGCTCTTCTGTCTGTCCAAGGGGGAACGTTCCGCTGTCCAAGGGGGAACGTTCCGCTGTCTCTATCAGTAAAGCCCGTATGTATTACGAGTACTGTCACAAAACCACAGCGAAGATATCGGGAGACCATGTGCAGTGTACACTGCACGCAGCGGCAGCAGCCCGGCGACGAAATGAGCAATCTCAGAGCTGCTGCTCGAAGGGATGGCCACAAATTTCAACAGCAGGGCGTTTCTGCTCGTAGCCGGGCGACAGGTCTGCCATGGGCAGCAAGCAGCTGACGCTCCGTGCACACCCTCCCAAGAGAGAAGGCGCAGGGCAGGCTATCCCGAGAGGGATATGTGAGGATGATTATTACGGGACTCATCGAATTTATCTGATGTCCTATCTCGCCAACTCACTCCTTGTAGCTGGGCCTGGCTCCGTCATCAACAAGTACTCGGACTCGTCCGAATCACAAGAAGATCATCGCTGAACCACTCAACTTACTGTCTGTGGGGGTCACAGGGGGAGGAGTTGTGAGTATATGATTGTGTTAGCGTGGTCAGCTCGTCGGATGTGGAGCTGCGGGCGAGCGATGCCGATGCCGAAATCTTCGCCATCGAAGGCAATGACGGCTTTTGCGGTGACGCCAGATCACATGTCACTTCTACGTATAGCCACCCCACGAGTGGGCACATATGCTCGAAAGATTATCATTTTGTCGAGACCTCAACACCCACCGCCACATCATGAGATACAAATGATGGCAGTGTGGTCGTCTTTGTGCGGCGATCCGGTCCATCGGGCTGCGCTGGATGACCGCCATCGTCGAGTCCATCGGGATTCGACCCGCAGTGAGCAGCCACGCGCCCCTCATGATCCACAATATCATGACTTGCTCGCGACGCCCACACATGGGGCCGAGTGCGACACTGGCCAGTGCCATGCAAACCGCCTATAGCATGAAGGATCCGTATTCTGCTCGTGTATCTTGGATTGATCACCGACCTGCCTTGCCTGCAACGCGCATAGAGGTGCAGCTTCAACTCCCTAGGCTCCTCGCCTCGCGGGTGACTTTCGCCGTGACACGCCATAGCATAGCCACATTCCTCCCTGTTCGATCCCGAACTCAGACCTTTCTTTCTTTTTCTTTTTTAATGCTTGTTTTCGTCGTAGGCACAATTTCAAGCTCTTCCCGAGGAAACGGCCCTTTTGACCTGTTTCTGAACTTTTGTTTGGGACCTAGCCAGGCTTGACTCTGTACTTCATCTCTTATCATCCTTATAATCCACCTATTGTACATTACACCGAGTCAAGATGGGTAACGTGAGTGCGAGATGGGTGCTGGTCCCGGTCGCATTACAGAGGCACTGCCGATGCAGTCGCGGCGCGAGCGGCGACCAGTACGACCGGGGACCTCATGAGCCAGCCCCGCGCTGACTCGGTCTTCTCCGCGTTGCAGGGCGCCAAGGCTGCTCACAAGCGAGAAAAGGCCACCAAGGTCGTAGGCAAGGGCGAGTCGTCGCAGCTCAAGTCGAACGCTGTGAGTCTGCCGTGGTCCGTGGACTGAGCGGATCGTCCTATCGTCTGCCGCGGCTCTATCCCCGATACCATCTTGGATCTTACTCATTCCCCTCCACAGGCCGCCCAATCTATCCAGTGCAAGACCTGCTTCAACACCTTCCAGAGCACCTCCAAGCTCCCTCTGTGAGTGTTCTCTGCTCCATGGCTCGCCTCCCGCCTTTCCCCCCCTTCGCAGCTGGGGTTTCCTCCCGCACGTTCAAGGTCGACTGCTGGACTATCCCGCTGACTCCACTCTTAGCCTTCAGCAGCACGTCGAGAACAAGCACCCCAAGTCCTCCATGGCCATCTGCTTCCCCGACGTTCCCGTCCCTGCCTAACCGCGGTGGACACTCTATCACGTATATCTTCAATCATCTAGATCAACCCAGCTGGCGTGGCCACCATTGCTTTTGATTCGCTTTTCCACTTTCAAAGGGATGCAACTCGTTATTCACTCATCACTTGCAGCGCGAACAGCGATGGTAGAAATGCATATGACAATGACTATCCGAATATTGACTCTGATCTTGATCGCTTTGACCGCTACTGATGGGTCCGAATGCTGATTACGCGTCCCAGCTACGCTGAATGACCTTTTACATCGATTTGCTTCGTACACTTGTCTCAGTCTGCCTGCTTCTTCCGACTAGTACCTCCCACCCTGTCGAGCGATCATCGCCCTGCGAAGTGGACATCAGCACATACCCTACATAGCCACCGTCCGCACCGACTCACGCTCGTTCCGGGTTCATCCCCGCTGCTCCAGGTGGTCCCGGGGGACCGGGAGGTCCACGTCCAGGCGTCTGGCCTCCGTATCCAGGTGCGCCAGGCGGCGGCGCACCATACCCCTGAGGAGGCATTCCGTACGCTCCCGGTGGAGGTCCACCATAGCCTGCTGGTGGGGCACCGTAGGCCTGTTGAGGCATACCGCCATCTAGCAGAATCACGTATCAGCACACAGAACCCCTCACCAGCTCATCACTCACAAGGATTCGGTGTTCTGCCAGGCACCATGGGGGTTCTGCCCATACCAGGCACGCCGCCGGGCGCTCCGTACATGGGTGTGGCGCCTCCCCTCATACCCGTCATACCACCTGTACCAGGCGCTGGGGTCCTTCCACCCGGCGTTCGTCCTCCGGCACCAGGCGTCCTCGACCCAAGTAGCGGAGTCTTGCCCGCTCGGATACCAGGCGTCTTGCCACCTGAACCCTGATCGGCCAGCTTGGCAGAATATTGCAGCTTGAAAGCATTGCACAGTTCCGTTACTCCGGGCACTTCAGCATTGTTGAGCTTGTACGCTCCAGGCAAGACTTGCACCGGCTAGTGTAGTGGGACCAGTCAGTCAGAACACGCGGCGTGGTGAAAACCGCCCAACTCACCCAGGTCTGAATGACACCTCCGTCCTTGGTGGATTTGTTCAGGAAGCATAACCTAATGTAGCCCGGTCGATCGGAATCGATACTGAAGCCGTACATGCTTCGACCAGGGTGAGCTTGGACGTAGTTCTTCAGATATGCCTCTGCAATGGCGCAAAATTAGCCCGGCTCTCGCAACCGAGCAAGATTCGACTCACCTAGCTCGTCCTCAGGCTTGTACTTTTCGTGCATCTGCATCTCGTCGATCTTTCTCGCCATGGCCTTGACATGGTTGATGATCAACTCGTCCAAGTCACTGTACGAGTATCGTCCGGCCACACGGAGGATTCGACCGAGCGTATACTCGTTAGGCTTGTCGATCTCTTGCACGTCAATGTGTTGGTACACATCCTCGTCCACCTTCCAAGTCACGGCGATATGGTCGGGACCCTTGGACGAAGGTCGGATGACGACGTCTCCTCGATGTTGCGACGCGAGGAACTGCTCGGCCTGGCCAGAGTTGAGCACATGCCAGTTCGGGTGATTTACGACCCGCTTGACCTTGCCCGCCTGCCGTCGCTTCTTGGCCGCCGCCGCGTCCTCTGCCGCTGCTTTTCGCATCAGATCGTTGTAAGGCTCGTCTCGGAACGGTTGTACGAATGCGACTCCTTGGACAAGGTCTGACTGTCGCGTTGAGATTCGGACCTGGAATCGAGCGGGCTCAGGCATGATGACCACGGCCTTGATGGCCTGTCGAGGCTTGAAGAACTCCTCGCATGATGTCACAGGCGGTTGATCCTCGTCGGCCACATAGTCCCTCTCCAGGATCGCGTCCATGCCCGACTCCAGTTGACAAAACACCCTCGACGATAAAGCCTTCCGCACCGTTGCCGTGACACGTAGACCCCGTCCGATGGTACGTTCCGTCTCTCCAGTGAGCATGGTGACCACCTCCCACTCGTTTGGTACGTAGAATGCCGGTCGTCGATCCGCTCGATATCGAATGAGCTCGTTGACGATCTCTCCCAACGCATGTCGCTTGTTTCCTTCTCCTTGTCTCTGTAGATTGAAGGCGAAATCGTCCAAGTTGAGCTCTCCCAGTTTCTGCGCCCGCTTGTCGTCCAGCATGAGTGTCTGCACGACCTCCGACTTGTGTCGGTCGGTGACATCTTCCACGTCCAGGTCCAAGGCATCCTGACACATCTTTTGAGCGAACTCGTAGTCTGCGGGATGAATCCGGGTCATATCTAATGGGTCGGGCTGCTCCTGAGGCTTTTCCGGCTCGAGCAACATCTCCTTGAGATCTGACTCGATGGTGAGGAAACCAGCCACGTTCTCGTATATCGTTGGACCAAAGAAACCAGCATCGGAGAAGGCCAGTCGGTTAAGCAGAGCACCCTGTTGTATGTCAGTAGTCTGAACCCGCCACGAAAGAGATGCGCCACTCACCTGTCTCTGGATACCGTGTACCAGTGCGTCGGCCTTCCTTGGACCCAGTCCAGAGATGAACGGCAGCATGGACCGCTGGTAGGGGTCTGCCACACAGGAGTTGATCTCGATGCCCATGAAACAGACCGAGTTGACCAGTGCCCTCTCGAGATGTATCAGGAGCTTCTCTTGCGATATCTTTACAGGCGTCAGCGAAAGCACTCATAAAATACCGCCAAGCTCACCAGCTTCTGGTGATGTTCCATAAAGGTGACAGATGAGATCTGCTTGCCAAGCTTGGCGTACGCGTTCAGCGGGTTCTGGGTGTATCGCGCCAGACCCAAGGCATATCGTCCATTCAGTGGTAAGCTCGGGAACTCCCTCTCCGCCTCTTCCGAGTTCATATACAGCCTGGCGGTGGCGTCGCTGACAAAGACCAGAGGGATGAGGTGGACGGAGAGCTTCTGGTCAAAGTCGGCCAGGTCTGCTTGGAACTGCTCGTGACTGGAATATGCGTCGGAGACTGGCGGGGTTTGTCCTAGTGACCGGATCGCCATCTCTCGCAGAGCGGTCGTCGCGTCGTCTCGCATGCGAGCAGCCTGTACCGACATACCGCCGACGACGATCACTTTTGGCTTTCGCTTCTCGACCAATTCGA